CCTATCCCCTGTGTGCCTTGCCTCCCACGACTCTAATTGATGTTTTAGATGCACCTTACTTCGACACACTTTACTTCAATAGTACATGTTTAATACCTTATATAAAAATTTTAATCTTGTATTTTCTACAAACTACAAAGACTCAAAGAACTGTCTTTTTTTCAAAAAAAAAATTAAAAAAATTGAAGGGATTACTTTGGAATATCAAGAAAGTTTGCTGCAATGATAAATTCATGGTGTACAACCCCAACATTTTCGAACATAAGCGGGCATCGACTGAAAGTACGTGAGAGTACTTTATAATATTCTTTGTAATAAGACTAACATACCCTCTGAACATTATCGTATTGACAAAACCATTCCCAACTCTGAGGGTGGTATGAATAACAAGTGTATAATATAAGAAAGAGCAATGAAATGTATATTATAATGTCATTTCCTTATGATATAAAGATATCACCATCATTATAGACTATTAGATTAGAAAATAGGTGGTTCGCGATGTGCTATCGTTTGGACACAAAATTCAAAATGAATTTTTTGAATGTTGTGACACTTTCATTTATTAGATTTCACATTCAATAGTTAAAAATAATTGTGAATTTTTTGTACAAAAAATAAATGGTGTCATAATATACAATTCCAATAATATAATAAAATAAAATCATAAAGGTTCTCTACATTTGTGGAGCATTAGAAATATCTCTAATATTTGATATTTTATATTTAATTCTCACTTTATAATCTTTTAATCTATATTATCTAAAAATTTGGTTAAACTTAAACTTTAAGTATTCATGCTTCTGCCATGAGACATTAAGAAACATACAAAAAAGTAATTTAATAAAAATAAAATAACTAAAATACATGTACAAAGTTTACAAGTATTTTAGTCATTTTATTCATTTCAAATTATTATCTTTTGTGGGTGGTGCATAATAACAAACAGTATGGAGGCTCAAATTCTAAACTGAATTTTATGTTTAAAATATAACAAAATTAAAATACAAACTCTCAAAAGTGGGAAATGAGAATAAAATACAAAAAAATAAGAGTATCTTTAAATTCCTTAAATATATAAAAAGAAAAAATTTATAAAATAAATTATTTTCCATTTATATTTGCCTAAATTTTTTCTCATACGAGCCAAAGGTGCACAAACTCAAGGGACTTTTCGTTTGCTTTCTCAAGGGAAGTAAAAAAATATGTTATAACATGGTCGGCGCTAAGTGTAATAAAAGAAGGGGTGTTCATGTCATTCCAGAAAGGACGGCTGGTGTCATGTCTTTGTTGTTGAACCCTGCTTTTGTCTTTGTTTTTCTTTTACTTTTTTTTTTCTTTTTTCCTTTTTACTTTTCCCGGCTTTTTTATCAGGTTGGACGTGCACTTGAAACATATTTAACAAAAGCTGTTGAAAAGCCAAAAGATATTATATGCCCGCCGGAGTATACTATCTATTTACCCCACCTGGTAAACATTTAGGATTAACTTTAGAATGTAGCATAATTACACATTAATTTTCAATAAAAGAAAATGTATACATTAACTTTCAAAAGCTGAAAATCTTAATGGCATCCTCTATACACTAGGAAAAAATAATGTCTAACAATTTGTTAGAAAAATCAAATTTTAATTTATATATTTACTTTTGAGAATAATCATCTAATGATTTTTAGGTGGTCACCAAAATATAGGACTGACAAAAATCCTCCCATGTATGTCTTTTAACCAAGACAGTAAATATACACTTTGCTCCTGCAAAAGCATAGTATATGCACTCAATAGAAAAAGAAAGCATTACTCATTTTGCATAGGAAAAATATACAATGAGAACATTTATCTTTGATACAAGTGGTCACAATTAATCTTGACCATTGGATATGAAAGTATAAAACAACAGAAAAAGTTTATATAAAGTTGATACTTTAAAATGTAGAATTAAGGTGCGCCTCTAAAATCATTTGAAAAAGGTTGTTTTGATCATCTCGACATTGAGATGTCTATATATATTGAGAAAACAACTATATTTCAAGTCCTAAAAATAGTGTATCTTATAACACATTATTTGGACTGTTCATTTTCAAAATTTTCATGCATTTATAAATTTGCTTGTTTTGAACTATTTTTGGAGTTTAAAATTTTATAATTAGAGATAAAAATAGACTCTTACACTGTCCTAAAAAATTTCGATACCAAAATTTTATCTCATGGCAAAATTTGGAAGTGCATCCTTTAATTTAAGTGTTTACGTGAAATTAATTTTTGAAACCAAAATTATATCTCGTGACAAAATTTGTGACCACTTTATACTAAAAGTAAATCATCTCATTGTATACTTTTCCATTATTTGAAGGTATGGACAAAGCAAGAGTACTAGATGATACCAATTGGCTAGGGCAAAAGAGAGAACATAATACATAACATTGATAAAGCAAGTTGAAGATAGATGAAATGAAAGGGGCAAATTTCCCAATAGAACAGTTCCTCCAGCCCAGCTCCCTAGCATTTTAATAAAATAGAGCTTCGTACCCTTGTGTTTCATAAACGTGGCCTGATTCTTTCAACGTTTTAAATAATAACAAACATTAGAGAACCTCTATACCTCGAGAATTAAGCTCTGCAACATCTGAAAAACAGTCCACTAAATTCTGCCAATGCATAAGCTTTGCCCTTAATTTGAAGCCAATTTGCATAAGTGGAGTTAAGTTTCGGCAATGTGAACATTAATTTGAAGCCCTGATTTCCTGCAGTCATTCAATTGACCATTTTCATTGGTATGTTTCATTACTTGATTTAATCACATTCTCTGTGGTTTTAGCCAAGTGCAGCTCCCCATTTCTCCATTTCGAAATCTTTACGCCAGTTTTTTAAATAGCGAAAATTCATGGGCTTTTTGCGCAATTTGAGAGTGTGTGAGGGAGAGAGCACAATCAGCCAAAATCAGAGAAGGTAAGCAAAATATGGACTCTCAAAGAAAGTGAAGCAGAAGACAGCCACAATATCAATACATCCAAAATGAAAATTAAAGAAAAAACTAATAACACATTGAAAGGGATTGATAATCCTCTTATGAACTGAAAACCATGAACCAATGACCACCTTAATGCAAAATGCATTTAAAGAAGCTTCATGGCTTCTCTTTTCTTGCATAGGCTAACCTCTTAAATCATATTCTGAAACCACTGATCGAAAATAAAACCAAATTTAGAACTTGATATATTTCCCATCCCAGAATATAGATATACACCATCAACAGGCCCGTGATCATCTCAGATTTAGAAGAGCTTGTCTTTCAACAACAAGAAAACTAATTGAATTTGAACATTAAAAGTAATATGAACTCACTAAGATTACATCGAGCACTCCTACTCCTACTACTGCAACACTTCAAACCTGCAGCAATCACAGGAAGCTGTTGGCCTAGAGAGAGAATATTAATTATAGAACCAACAGAGAGAGAGAGACGAGGAGCAACATGAAGACATGAGGCAAGAAGCAAGGAATATACAGCAGAAGAGCCAATCGACGCCACCTTTGCTCTCGATATAGCCTGCGATTAGCCTGAGCTATTTTCTCGGGGTTGTCATTCCATTCGGAATGCGATCTGCAAAAATATATATCTCAAATGATTTTAGATTTTAGTTTATGAAAAATGATGGGGATTGATATAGTATCATTGCAGTCCAAATTTTTTGATAGCCATTTGATGGTTGTGATAACCCTGACCACTACACCACTGGTGGGCAGCGTGATGGACCCAAATTATGTTATGGACCATCAACCTATGCGATCATTATTCTTTTTGACAGTTAAACCTTGTGATTGTTTCTGTAAAGACAAATACTAAAAACATGTTTGCTCTCACATACCTGGAAGTGTGGAGCATCTCAAATAAATAAAGAAAGAAATAAAAAACACAAAACTAATTGCAATTGAAAGCGAAGGGTGCCTGCTTGAAGGGGCAAATGGGAAGGGTGAAGGCAACTCAAATTTGAATGCATAGATTCTTTGTATTAGTTTGGGTAAAGATGTTGATTTTTCCGTGTATGTGTTTTACAAAATGGTGGTAGTGTAATTTTGCATACAAAAAAGTTAGTGTGTGTAAAATATTTCCTTTGGAGAAAGCTATGGAAGTGCAGAGACCTGATCTGGATGTCCTTTCTTTGGCTAAGTTGTCCACCAGGACATTTGTCTCGCAATGCGATTACCTAAAGTAACTAGGTGTCCATATGGTCTGGCCTCTTAGTTGCTCATGGTAACATGAGAGAGTCACTTCCTTATCGGCAGCTATTCGGAAGTCCAGCTCCAAGGTCAGGAATCTAACCAAAGATCCTTCAGAAAACATACATGCTTCTCATTTTTGTTCCATGTCAAATATTGTTTGAGGAAGCCAAGAAACTAGTATTGTTAGCTTTCAAGGGCTCGAGTACTAGCTCTCCCTCTGGGTAGCACACAAGCAACTTCAGAGATATCTGTGTTTCATCACCATTTTCTGTAGGTGATCATTTTCTATGTTGTAGCACCATAGCCATTCGCCCATATTAACACGGTGTTGCATTCCCTAACTGTTCTGATCCACCCTAGGACTTGGATAGACAAACTATGTTACATTTCATTAGATAGCATTTATGGGAGTCACGAGTGCAACTCCAAAAGAAACATCTCACCATGCATTCTTACTTACGTTCAATTGATGCAAGGATTGTAAAAGTAGACATCTGAAAGATGGAGATATTGGAGAGTTGGACTTGATCAAGATGATACGGTCACTGAGGAACAAAAATTCCGTCTCCAGGCCACTAATCTATGTTAGAATCTCTCTGCTAGTCTATCCCACCGGTCACTGAGGGACAAAAATTCTGTTTCCAGACCACTAATGTGTGTTAGAATCTCTCTGCTAGTCTATCCCATAGGGCTTTGCCCGCTTGCCTATGCACAGTAGGAGGCATAGGTATTTGCTGGATAGTATCCCTATGACATTCCATTCTTTTGGCTAGAAGATTGATCTTAGGGCTCGTTTGGTTCGCGTGTAACAGTTTGCATATAGAAAACGTTTTCATAGGCAAACTGTTTCCTATGCAATAGGTTTCCAATCCATTTTTTTTTCATGTTTGGTTCACATGGGTAACCAGTTTCCCAAATTCCTGTGTAACCAGTTTCTTAAGTTTGGTAACTCATGGGTAAACTATTTCCTAGAATCTAGATTAATACCTATTTTTAACCATTCAATTGCAAATATAGGCGATTTGATATCGACATCCATCCCAATACAATTATTTTTTTAAAACATTTAATTTGTATTATCTTTAAAAAAATGGATTGTTTAGATCATAAGTTTGATTCACTTTATTAAATTATATAAGCATCAAGCCTTGATAAACTAATCCATGCATTTTTTTTAAAATCTCTATCTTGTAAGATTAATGAAAAAATATCAGCAATTATATGTAGACCTTATAATATTAGAAAGACCAGTTTATTATTCTTGGTAAACCACTATAATGGAATAATAATAAATTTAAGTCTCTATCTTGTAAGATTAATGAAAAAATATCAGCAATTATATGTAGACCTTATAATATTAGAAAAACCAGTTTATTATTCTTGGTAAACTACTACAATGGAATAATAATAAATTTGGAGCAGATTATTCTTGGCAGAAAATGTCAAAATTGCTGAGAAATCATGGTGTTTTGGGGCCAGAGAATGGAATTGAATTTTATTTGCTTCAATGATTAGAGGGTCTACAGTACTCAAAGCCCATATAATTCCACACTGTACTCAAAGGAATGAATAGTTCCCAAATTAAAAAAACAGGGGTCACAAAAGAATTTAAAAAATTAATAGCCTCCATGACCATGTTTTATTTGTGAATTACTGACGATCAATCCCTGCTGTTTCCAGCCTATCCAAGAACCCACAATAATAAAACCCCTAAAATCACAATTAAAAAGTAAATAAAAATAAATATCAGCCCCCAAAAACCTTCTATCATTGAATATCAGTAACCCAAAAATGCGCAGACTCAATTAAAACATAAACAATATTAAAATAAATGATTTCCATTAAAACACTTGGAACCTATATCAAGAACCCAGTATACCCAGACTCAAGAAGAAAAACGTTAAAAGAAAGACTAAAAGACTTTGATATGGAGAGTTAGCTTTACATTCTCTTAAAGTGAATGACTACTTTTTCAGGTCACAGAAGAACAACTTGGAAATCTAGATATTCAAGTTCTGAAGAGTTTTAATTTTAATCAGCTTGTCGTTGATGTTTAACATCAATGGAACCAAAGATAATAGTACATAAAAAAACAATCTTGAATTACACACCCCACAATCCCAAACAACTCAGATTCCATCTTTTTGCATAGCAGGAATCAAGGATTCAAAAAGAAGCAAACCAATTAAAAAATTGGGTACACAGAACACCTGTTGCCTCTTATCGGCTTACAACTCCCTTAGGCTGTGCTTTTGGACAACATGTATCAAGTGAAATACAAAGGCTCATACCATTTGTAGCAGATTGGACCCATCAACAGCCAAACTGCCAATGGCTTTTCTTGGGCCCTCTCTCTCTGCCTTCGGTTTTTTATTAATATTGAGAATAGTAATGTCATGGTACCCAAAGCTTCCTGTTGGGAAGTTCATTTTTGTCATAGCCTATTCACCAACTGAGCCTCTGTTGAGCCCAACAAGGAAACTGATACGACCAGTTGGTGGAGAGGACATGACAGCCCTGTAGTTTGGTTTGGACTCATGAGTTTCTTGAATGAAATATTAGTAGGTCCACAAGGGCATCTTGTTCTTCTGTCTCAACAAGTAATAGACTTTTGTCACCACAGTTTTGTGCATCAACAGATGTGTGATTTGTGTTGATTCACTTAAAAACCACATTTCTAGAAACCAGCAAGAAATTGAAAAAAAAGGAACAAATTCTACAGAGCAAATTGAGCTTGTATACACAACCCTTATTTCTACAGAGCAAATTGTGCTTGTATACGCAACCAATACAACAAAACCAGTAACATAACCAACAAGAAAAACCAGCAAGAAATTAAAAAAAAAAGAAAAAAGCAACAGATTTCTACAGAGCGAATTGTGCTTTTATGTGAACAAAGAAACTAAAGACATTTCCCACACCCAATTTATGGCCAACAAAGAAAAAATGCTCCAGCAGTATGGTGTTGTGGACCTTGAATTTAAACGATGCACATCGTGATACATAAATGTTTCATATGAATGAAATGCCCCTTGAAACAAGTGAACCAATAGTAGCCTATAACCCATTGCCCACTGGATAACCCTGAGCCAGGGTTACCCTCACATTGAATCAAGGCCCTAAAAAGAGAAAAACTCTCAAACTCTCATTTATGGATCTAAATACTTAGTTTCATGATTAATTAATGACTTGAAAATCTGTTTATTATATTCAAGGTAAGGGAAGCCTCGAGGAGAACTTAGCCTTAACAACATCCTGTCAAGATTACATAGGTTTACAAACGATCTAAATTAGCCCCTCATTGTTCAGTGTAAGATGCACACCCTGGGATGTAAGCTATTTTAAAGGAACCCTACTTTGAAGTCAAAATAGAGCATTTGAGTTCTCCTCAAGGCTTTAAAGGAACCCTACTTTCATCGATCGTGGTATGTGACTAGCACAAATATGCAAATGAGAGTAATGTCAACTTAGATTATAATAGTACTACTGAGACCATCACTATAGGCACCCCTCAAGTCTCTATCTTATTAATGCTTCTAGATAAAATCTTACACATTTTGCTTATGTGTCAAGTAAACAAAGAAACTTCCTCTCCTGCAAAATAAAAGAAATCCAGCACATGACTAATCATGTCACATTAAGATGGAAGTTTAGACATCTATCATAGAGCCTAACATAAAGACACCTACGAGCGTTTTTCAAACCAGAAGCAAAGCCATAGTAATAGCAACCTAAAGAAAGCACAAATAGAACTTGGGTTTCTAAAAGCAAGACACTAAAAATTTCAACCCAGATTGTTATTTAACAGTACCATCGGTAAAAACCAATTCCTAGTTAAAAGCATCTACACTCAGGTCTAATACAGCTCCAGACACAATTTATATTAATGGGTACGAAAGTAGTTCCATTAAAGAAATAATCTGCTTTCTTGGGAAAAATGTTTATGTTTGTCATGGTAGTTTGCACAAAAATTTCTCAAGGCACTTGTTTCTCAATAGGTAAGCTGAGTTTGAAAATGAATGGAAAAACTCACCTTCAATTGTGTTTATATGCCCAAAACAAAGAGATTGTAAGCTCAAAACCACATAATTGCCAAAGAATAATAGCCTGATACAAAATAACTCAGCATAGCAAAAGAGATTAAAAAATGAATGCTATAAACATAGCAAAATCAGTAGGCAGATGCACTAGAGAGGTGGGGATTGTTAAAAGGCTCTATGGAGCTGTTAGATGAGGTGGTTGGTGATGTGATGAAGGAGGAGGTTTTATGTGATTGCAGAGGTGGTGAGAGTGTGCTTGTTGAAAGAGGAAGTGAGAAGTCCGTTCATGAGAGAAGTGGCTGAAATGTTAAGGAATGGTTGGGAATTACCATGGAAATGGTTGCACCAGTGAGCAGCCCTGTGAGTCTAAGAGGCCTCTTTGACATATTATAAAAATGATGTAATTTTTTTTTGGGTGTAATATGTATCTTTTCAAGGGATTGAGGAAACAAAACAATAGTTAGGAAGCATTTGATAAGCCAAACCCACATTTTTAAAAACCAGCAAGAAATTGAAAAAAAAACAACAAATTTCTACAGAGCAAATTGTGTTTGTATGTGCAACCCATATTTCTACGGAGCAAATTATGCTTGTTAGCACAACCAACACAACAAAACCAGCAACATAACCAGCAAAAAATAACAAAGAAAAAAACAGCCACAAATTTCTACAGAGCAAATTGTGCTTGCATGCACTACAACCCAAACAACAAAACCGGCCACAAAACCAGCAACATAATTAGTAAGAAAAAGCAGAAAGAAATAAAAAAAAAGGGCAACAAATTTCTTCAAAGAAAATTGTCCTTGTATGTTCAACCTATACAACAAAACCAGCAACATAATTAGTAAGAAAAAGCAGAAAGAAATAAAAAAAAAGGGCAACAAATTTCTTCAAAGAAAATTGTCCTTGAATGTTCAACCTATACTACAAAACCAGCAACAAAACCAACAAGACAAAAAACAAAGAGCAACACATTTCTACAGAGCAAAATTGTGCTTGTTTACGCAACCCATACAACAAAACCAGCTACAAAACCTGCAAGAAAACCAGCAGGAAATAATTTTTTTAAAAAAACAGAGAGAATACAACAAAAAAAAATCCGTACCCAAATTTTTCTACAGAGCAAATTGTTTTCTATACTCAATAAAATAAGAAGAAAAGAAAACAAATTTCCATGAGGAAATCATAGAACAAAAATGTTTGCATTAGTAATTAAAAAAACACAGCACTGTCTAGAAGGAAAAAATAGGAAAATCAAAAGAATAAAATACATATCCTTGTTGAAGAAGATGAGGTATTTTGTATGGGGTTCATATGAGGGAAACCCTACCTCGTTTGGTGAAGAATCTTTACAATATGAAGAAGAAGAAGTAGCAAAAAAAAAAGGGGAAAAAAAAAACATCCTTACCTTGTTGAAGAAGATGAATGCTTGCAAATGGATCCTCGCAAAGGATTGTGGAAGAAGCAAGACCCAGAGGGTTGCGAAAGAGGGGCAAGGATTTCTCTCGGGGCTGAAAGAGGGGCGAGGGTTTTGTGAGAAGAGGGCTTTGTGTCCGTCTTTTTTTTGTGGCCGAAAATTTTTCTGCGTCCGCGTGGGTGAAATGGTTCCCCAGTGAATTACTCCCCACCTTGTGGGGTGGGGATTACATTTCATGGATTTCCTCCTTGTGGTGGTAAAACCATTTCCAGTGAAAAAGGTTTTCATCGACTATACACATGAACCAAACATGTGTAACTATAGGTTTCATATGCAACCAGTTTCATGATGCAAGTTTTCACATGAACCAAACGAGCCCTTAGAGACGCCTATCCCTGAGTTTAGTTTTAGCCATGTTATCTTTAAGCCCTCTTGCAAATTAGAAATACTGAATGAACAGCCACATATGGTCGATTTACCATGTTGCAAATTTGAAACACTGGATGAACAACCACAGATATTTCGACTTGCTATGGCGTGGGGTTGCAGAAGACAAGGGTGTCATCTCTGTATTATAGGTGAAATATGGATGAGCCAGTCCTATAGGTGGCGAAGCCATTGAGCATGCCTGAATTTCCACGACGACGGAAAAGAGAAAGGGAGCCAAGGGGTCTCCTCGGCACATAGGGGAAGAAGTCATGTGGACTTCAATTGATGAGGATCATGAAATATGCATAGTAGATGCATCCCATGATCCAAGAGCAACATATTTGGCCAAAACCCATCAGGGCACCATATTTGGCCAAAACCCATCAGGGCCGTGGGTTGATCTAGGAGCTGCCAGTCTGCATGGTCATAGGCCTTTACAAAATCAAGCTCAAAGATTAAGCCTGGCTTACGAATTAGGTCTTTGGCATGGATGCAGTCCAGAATGACATCAAATATTACGTTGGAAATGTGCCTTGCAGTGAGGTCAGGACGCTTGCACTTTGACTAATAGCTTGCAGGAGTTGTTTATGAGGTTGATAAGCTAGAAGTCTTTCAGTCCACCAGCTCCTTCAAGCTAAGGGATAAGGCAATGAATATGAAGTGCATGCTCTGTAGATCATTTCTATTGGACGGAATTTGGCAAATATAGCCATGGCTTTAGGGGCTAGGCTGTCCAGAAACGGTGGTAAAGGGCTATGAGAAACCATTGAGTCTAGGAGCTTTATCATGGCCTAGTTTAGCTGGGGCTTTCAGAACTTCTGGCTCTGAACCGGGGCATTCTAAGTTTGTAACCCATTGACAGATAATACCGCGAGAGTTTTGAGATCGAGATCATGCAGTCTGGGTCTCAATGAGTGATCTCCCATAGAGTCTCTCTGTAAGAAGTTAACGATTTGCTTGACTTTTCAAGGCTTGTCGAAAGGTTCATATGTTTCTCTAATATGAGGAATAGTGTTATTTCTGTGGCAATTTGCCATTTTGTGAAATACAATGGTATCCCAATAACCTTCATTGAGATCCTAATCCAATGAAGCCAAGAGATCTTCAGGACCGCAAATAAACACGTCTTTTCAGTCGTTTGCCTAGTACTTGCAACCTCAAACAAAGATCCAGGCTGTTGATTTCAGCGAGCAGCATTTCCTTCTTCCAGATCACGTGACCGAATTACTCTCTTTTTCATTGCTTGAATTTGTCTGCGAGAACTTGCGACTTTTTAAATAGTCGATAACCAGCCCATCATAAACCATGAAAGCAGATCACTGCGAATCGGTAAGTGTAGTTCTTTGTCCTCAAGCCACATAAGCATGAATTGAAAAGGTCTAGGCCTGTTTGCTACAGATTTTATGTTGAGGAGGATAGGGGTATGTCAAAGATAGGCTGGGGTAGGATATAGGAATGGGCTCTTGGGTAAACCATCTCCAAATTAGGAGAGACAAGAAACCTATCAATTTTTGTGGGAGTAGAACTCTCAGAAAGGTTAAACCAAGTGTAAGATTTGTAAGTTAGATGAATATCGAAAGGTTGTGCTTGAAGACGAAGACAGAGAAGCCAAACCATACTAGTAGTGACTTTGCCTTTGTGGTTCTTTTTGTAAGACCATCTATCTGGTCACATTAATTTCCTTCCCCCACCCCCCAACCCCACCCCTCCTTTAAAAACAAAAAAACAAAACACGCACACTACACAAAAGCATCAGGGATTGAGAGATTGGGCATGCATGATCCAGTTACACCTAGAATCGATCTCTCAATATTGGTCTTTTTAGACCTATGAATCTCTCTCTCTCTTGTTTACCCCCGCCCCGCAAAAAAAAAGAAAAAGAAAAAACCCACCCAGGCACCCACCCACCCATATACACACATATATATCAGAACCTGTATTGCGTGGATTCATCAGTCTAGGCACTTACCCATGTCAGATATGGCTGGAAAGGTACAACATGGACACAGCTGGATTCTCCGTTCCATAGATTCCCAAAGAGAGGATTTTTGAGACACATGGACACACTTTAGCCAACATGTCTAGATTCTTCATGACACTTCAGTTCTTCTCCCAAAGAATCCTGTAGTTCTTTTTATTTACTATTAAGTTTTCTTTATTTATACCCTAAACATAGAGAAGGGATATGTATATCAAACCTCAAGTTCATAAAATGTAGATTCTCCTACATATACCACAATCAAAGACTTGTGAGTTCCTCACTATTACTTTATTGGATTCGTCGATTCTCTGTAGGTCTTGCATGAATATTATGTGTATTGGATCAGTAGTACACCCATGTTGCAATCATTAGCAATTTGATTTATCAAATAATCGTGTACCTCACTATATATATATATATATATATATATATATATATAGT